AGGGCCAGGGAGAGCTGCTTCGGATCACCATCACAACCTCCCCTTTCCCAGTTTCTGAGGAGCATCCACACCCCCACAAATAGGGGGCCTCATGCTGAGAAGCTCAGAGGAAAAGGAGACACTGGCCCACCCAAAGGGATGGACAGTGGGAGAACAGGGAGGGGGAGGGGGTATGAGAAAAGAGCCGAGGGCTGGGCAGGCCCTGAGGAAATCAGGTTGACTATTTGGGGGCCCAGCGGGGACAGACGGGCAGGGGAGAGATGACCCTGCTGTATTTGGATTCTGCATCCACAGCCACTTAGATTCTGGTTCCTCCTGCTTCTTCCCTGCCAGCTACCTGACTCCTCAGCCTCCCAGCCAAGCTTCAGTCACACTCCCTTTCCCAGCCCCACACACACCTTCCAACTCAGGAGGAAGGAGAAACTCCTTTGCTCTTGGCCCTGCAGCCTGCTCAGCAGCGGCTCTTCCAGGCTTGTCAGGACCTCAAGGGGTCTTGGCAGCCCAAGGGGCTCTTGGGAAGCTGTGCTGGTTCCCACGGAGCCTAGTGTCTGCGGGTCAAGACCCCACATGGGGTCACATTATGGAAGGTGGTGGCCAACATTGACAATAGTGAAAGGTTTCCGAAGGGGGCAGTGATTGTAAATGCTCTCCAGATCAACACATCAGGGACTAGAGGTGCTTGTGGCTGGGTGCACGTTTGTCGTTAGTTAGTCTGGTGAAAAGGGGAGTGAGTGGGAGGGGTTGAAGAAGCCTTGCCACAGAGGAACAGCTGGGGGTGCTGCAGGGCAAGCCACCCGCTGGCCTTAGCAACACCATTTTGCTCCCGTGAAGGAAGTGTGGGGCTCTATGGAAGGCTGAGCCCTCTCACACCCCCTTCCCATTCCTTGGTCTTAGTCAAGAAGCTTGGACCCATCCTTCCTGGGAATTTCCCAATGACAGAGGCTGAGACTGGGACCAAGGAACGGTGACATGGAATTGCTCTCCAGTACAGCTTTAATTCCTTACTCCTTACCTTACTCACTTCCTACCCTGACCGCACCCCACCCCCCACTGCCTACCTACCTCTGATCTCATCTTCCATTCCCCTCTCCTCATCCAACACCCATGACTCCGGCCTTTTTTTCTTCATGTCCCTTGAACATGAAGAGTGTTTTTTCATCCAGGGTCACAGTGTGTGTGGTTTCTGTCTGAAACACTTTCTCCTCAGAAACGCCATATCCGATTCTGTCATTTAACCACCTGCTCAGATTCCCAGCCCTGAGGGAAACCTCTCCAGACAATGCTCTGTAAAGGGGTCCTCCATCCTCATACCCCACTGTATTGTTTCCCCTGCTCTTAACATCATCAAAACTTACTAGGCATTATCAAACTGTCCCAAACTCTCAGTGGACCGAGCTCTCAAGGGAGCTCTCTATTGGGGGTATGGTGCTGCCAGCAGGTCAATCTGTACCTGTGAGGCGAGTGCATCAGCAGCCTCATGGCGCCTTCAGACTTCCAGATACCCCAAAATTGCTGCTGTGCCTTTGGCTAGACCCCAAAAACTTGGGGCAAAGTTTACCAAGAAAGTAAACGGCCAAAAGTTAGGTATGTGGGAAACACACACAAACCACCTCCAGCTCAGCTATATAATTGGAGGCATGGCCTCTCTGGTTCCTGATCGAACTGCTTAATGGCCATGATCCCAGAGACTCAGAAACAAATCTCGAAACCCAGCGGCTTTTGGCAGAAATGCGTCCGGTCCCTGCAGTAGGTTACCAATGCTGGGTCAACCCAGGTGGGAATAGGTTTCGTGCCTTGGCCTGTTCCCCCTGGCAGCCTGGTGGCCGCCATCCTCCACAGGCCACTGGACAGTCAGGTTTGGGCCAGCAGTGACGAGACACACAGGGCCTCACAAGATGGGGGTGGAGCCGGTGTTGTCCTCCCCACCCCAACGAGACCATGAACGGCCTCTCTGGCTCCTGATCAAGCTGCTTAATGGTCATGATCCCAGAGACTCAGGAGCAAATCTCGGAACCCAGAGATTTTTGGCAGAAATGCATCCGGACCACGCAGTAGAATACTGTCGCCGGGCCACCCCAGGGGGAAAGGGTGTTGTCCCTTCGCCTGCCTCCCCCTGGCGGCTCGGTGACCATCATCCTCCAGAGGCCACTGGACAGTCAGTTTTGGGTCCGCAGTGACGAGACACACAGGGCCTCATGGGATGGGTGTGGAGCCGATCCTGTCCTCCCCACCCCAACGAGACCCCAAGTCATTGCCCACAAACGGCCTTTCTGGCTCCTGATCAAGCTGCTTAATGGCCATGATCCCAGAGAATTAGGAGCAAATCTCGGAACCCAGAAAGTTTTGGCAGAAATCTCTCCAGATTTAAGTGTTAAAATTTCGGAATTTCAAAATCACACGGCCACTACTGAGGCCACACGACATCATATGTTATTCATAACTAGAAAACAAATCATCTACTGTTGTCTTTTCAGCAGATCTGAGTGTTGGGGTAAAATCTCAAATAATAATGGTGGGTCTGGTGTCAAAATATTGATTGTGATCAAAGTAGAGAGAGAGTAATGTGGAAATCATCTGCCCCACAGGTAGGGGGAGGGTGTTTGGGGGGGGTATACTGGGGTTGTTGGGAGTGGAGAATGGGCACTGGTGAAGGTACAGGTGTTTCATTATATGATCGAGACTTAGACCCAAAAGCTTTGTAATTGTTTTCACGGTGATTCAATAAATAAAATTATAAAAAATGAAAAAAAAAGTAAGGTGGAGTTCATGCCCAATTCAATCAGCTAATCAGTGACTGAATAAATAGCAGTACTCCTACATAAAAAAGGGAGCTCTGTATTAATCACATAACTCACTGACTACAAGGAGGGGTTTAAGTGTTTGAGGCAGGGCACTGCCTACTGGTCTGTCTACTGGTTCCAAGGCCCTTTCCTTTACTCTGTGGGCAACTTCTACTGCAAGACTCTATCTTCCTCAGCAAGTTGTTAAGAGCTCAGAGGATTGCCCAGGAATCAGGCCTCAAGAACGCAGCAGAGTTTATACCTTCTGGCTCAGTTCTTTAACATTTTGGGGATCTGATTCCTTGTACCCTCCAAGCCAGAATACTCCATAATCTTTATGGTTCACTTGTGAGTCCTGCTTACAGGTTAGGGCAGGCCTTGGTGAGTGTTGTTTCTTCTTCTTCCTCCTCTTCCTCTTCTTCCTCCTCCCCCTCCTTCTGCTCCTTCTCCTTCTCCTCCTCCTTTTCTTCTTCTCCTTCTCTTCCTCCTCCTCCTTCTTCTTCTTCTCCTCCTCCTCCTTTTCCTCCTCTTCTTTCTCCTCCTCTTCCTTCTCCTCCTTCTCCTCTTCCTCTTTTTCTTCCTCCTCCTCCTCCTTTTCGCTGTTGAGTCACACCCAGCTATGCTCATGGCTTATTTCAGGTTCTGCACTCAGTGATCACTCCTGGTGGAGTTGGGGAACCACATGAAATGCTGGATTTCAATGCTGGGCAGCTGCACCCTGTATATGGCTTGTGCCCAGCTTTAGTCTTCTTAATGCCTTAGCAAGGCATTACCAACCTCCCTTTGGGGGGCCTACCTGCAGAGATTCTTGGCAGGTCATGTGATGTGGGGTCAGTCCCTGGCCTAGGACACAGCCGCCATGTGCTCTGGCCCTTTGCACGACCTCCCAGTCCACCTCCCCATGCCTAGTGCCCACTGTCCCCCATGTTTGCAGGCTGACTTCCCCTATCCCATTTGAGGAACCTCAGGACCCTCTTGAAGAAGTGACTCTCCCAAGACATTGGTAAGTTTCTTCTCTTGAAGGTTACTTTCAGCTCTCCCAGCTGGGGGCTGAGCTCAGGGCTTCTTTATAACCACACCGGGGCTGTTAGTTCCCAGATGGGTGCAGGCCAGGAACTTGGGCTCCAGGAAGACTCAACCACAGATAGCCCAGATAGGCATGCAAGCGAGGGTCCAGGCTGGCAGTCATCCTTGGAAGTTGTCTAGCTCATCTCTTAGACCCTGGCCTTCAGCACAGTGCCTTGTTCATACTTAGTATTAGGGAACACGTAGCAATCACTATCACTAACTCATTTAAATGAAAAAGGGTAAACGTACCAACACTATGCTAATGTTTCACCGGTACTTACCATCCTTCAAACAGCTACTTATTTTTAAAATTGTATTAATTTATTTTTACAAAGCTGTTCATGATTAGGTTTCAGTCATACAGTATTCCAACACCCATCCCTCCACCAGTGTCCATTTCTCAGCACCAGTGTCCCCAAGGTTCCCTCGCATCATCCCAAACTCCCACCCCCTGCCTGCCTCGATGGCAGGCAGGCGGTTTTTCTTCTCTCTCCTTCTCTCTCTCCTTTGGGGCACCGTGGTTTGCAATGTTGATAAGTCAAGCAGCTATTGAAACAGCTATCATCATGATGTTCACTTGAGGATGGAAAGAGCAGGCAGGGGACCTGCCCCACCAGCGTGAGCCCTGGGTTGAGAGAAATCCAGGTCACAAAACTCTGCGCTTTGGGGCTGGAGCAATAGCACAGCTGGTAGGGCGTTTGCCTTGCACCCACCCTAACTGGGTTTGCCTTGCATGTGGCCGACCCAGGTTCGATTCCCAGCATCCCATATGGTCCCCCTGAGCATCCCCAGGAGTGATTCCTGAGTGCAGAGCCAGGCGCAACCCCTGAGCATTGCCGGGTGTGACCCAAAAAGCAAAAAAAAAAAAAAAAAAAAAAAAAAAAAAAAAGCCCAGCTCTGTGCTTTCTTTGTATTGCCGGAAAAACAACGGGCGACGCAGAGCGGGGAAGGCCAACGCAGAGAGCTGGGGGCGCGCCGGAGGGGGCCCGAATCTTCCCCCGCGGGGTTGCCAGCCGGGCCGTTTCCGCGCGCGCACGCACCGGAAGTGCTCCCGCCGGCCGCGTTTCCCCGGCGCCCGGCCGGAAGTCAGGGTCCGCGGGGTCCCGGGGCGCGGGGCGGGCGGGCGGGGGGCGTGCGGTCCCGGCGCGGGAGAGCCAGAGCGCGGCCCGCCCCCTCCCCGGCCCGGCCCTGCCCGGCGCCATGGCCACGGGCGCAGATGTGCGGGACATCCTGGAGCTCGGCGGCCCCGAGGGCGACGCGGCCTCGGGGACCATCAGCAAGAAGGACATCATCAACCCGGACAAGGTGGCCCGGGCCGGGGGCCGCGCCGCTGCTGGGCTGGGCTGGACTGGGCTGGGCTGGGGGGCGGCAGGGGGACGCCCAGGGGCGCCTCCCCCGGGGGGCTTCGCGTGTGCTGTGCTTCCCGCGCGCACTGAGCTCTGTGTGTGGGTGTGTGTGTGTGTGTGTGTGTTGGGAGGGGTCCGGCTAGACTGTCCAGGAGTTAAGACTCTCGCCTGGCACCACTGCTGTGTGTGTGTGTTGTGTGTGTGTGTGTGTGTGTGTGTGTGTGTCCTGAGTCCAGAGCCTGGAGTGAGTCCCGAGTGTGTGTGTGTGTGTGTGTGTGTGCGTGTGTGCCTGGTGTGTGTGTGTTGGGGGGGGGTCCGGCTAGACTGTCCAGGAGTTAAGACTCTCGCCTGGCATCACTGCTGTGTGTGTGTGTTGTGTGTATGTGTGTCCTGAACCCAGAGCCTGGAGTGAGTCCCGAGTGTGTGTGTGTATGTGTGTGTCCGTCCTGAGCCCAGAGCCTGGAGTGAGTCCCGAGTGTGTGTGTGTGTGTGTGCGCGTGCCTGGTGTGTGTGTGTTGGGGGGGGGGGTCCGGCTAGACTGTCCAGGAGTTAAGACTCTCGCCTGGCACCACTGCTGTGTGTGTGTTGTGTGTGTGTGTGTGTGTGTCCTGAGTCCAGAGCCTGGAGTGAGTCCTGAGTGTGTGTGTGTGTGTGTGTGTGCGTGTGTGCCTGGTGTGTGTGTGTTGGGGGGGGGGGGGGGTCCGGCTAGACTGTCCAGGAGTTAATACTCTCGCCTGGCACCACTGCTGTGTGTGTCCTGAACCCAGAGCCTGGAGTGAGTCCCGAGTGTGTGTGTGTGTGTGTGTGTGTGTGTGTGTGTGTATGTGTGTGTCCGTCCTGAGCCCAGAGCCTGGAGTGAGTCCCGAGTGTGTGTGTGTGTGTGTGTGCGCGTGCCTGGTGTGTGTGTGTTGGGGGGGGGGGGTCCGGCTAGACTGTCCAGGAGTTAAGACTCTCGCCTGGCACCACTGCTGTGTGTGTGTGTTGTGTGTGTGTGTGTGTGTGTCCTGAGTCCAGAGCCTGGAGTGAGTCCTGAGTGTGTGTGTGTGTGTGTGTGTGTGTGCGTGTGTGCCTGGTGTGTGTGTGTTGGGGGGGGGGGGGTCCGGCTAGACTGTCCAGGAGTTAATACTCTCGCCTGGCACCACTGCTGTGTGTGTCCTGAACCCAGAGCCTGGAGTGAGTCCCGAGTGTGTGTGTGTGTGTGTGTGTGTGTGTGTGTGTGTGTGTGTGTGTGTCCGTCCTGAGCCCAGAGCCTGGAGTGAGTCCCGAGTGTGTGTGTGTGTGTGTGTGTGTGTGTGTGTGTGCGCGCGCGTGCCTGGTGTGTGTGTGTTGGGGGGGGGGGGTCCGGCTAGACTGTCCAGGAGTTAAGACCCTCGCCTGGCACCACTGCCCACCCCGGGTCTCATTCCTGGCCCCGCAGAGCATCCCTGAGCACAGAGCCCGGCGTGTGAGTCCCGAGCACTGCCAGGGAATGGAGAGTTGGAGGGAAGAGGGTCCTAAGGCAGCCATCTCTCTGGTTTCATCTGGTTTCTCCCCGCAGAAAAAGTCCAAGAAGTCCTCGGAGACACTGACCTTCAAGAGGCCGGAGGGCATGCACCGGGAGGTCTACGCGCTGCTCTACTCGGACAAGAAGTAAGCAAGCAGGAGCGTGCCCGTGCCCGCGCTCTGAGCCCCGACCCTGCACCCTGGCACCTGGCATTTCTGCAGTGGGCTCTCCCTCCCGTCCTGCAGAGCCCCGGACAGGGCTGGTCGTGGGCACGGCAGGGGGTGCCCCCTCTCTGCTCCCAGAGACCCCTGTGTCGTCCCCCATCCCCACCACCACCAGCTCCCCTCCCTCCCCCGGAGGATGTCCCCACACCCCCTGACGCCTCTGACCCCCACCAACCCTGCTGCCAGGGACGCGCCCCCACTGCTGCCCAGTGACACAGGCCAGGGTTACCGCACCGTGAAGGCCAAGTTAGGATCCAAGAAGGTGCGTCCGTGGAAGTGGATGCCGTTCACGAACCCAGCCCGCAAGGACGGAGCCATGTTCTTCCACTGGCGCCGGGCAGCTGAGGAGGGCAAGGACTATCCCTTTGCCAGGTTCAATAAGGTGAGCCCCGAAACTGGCCCGCTCATGTGCCCCCAGCACCCACTCCCCCTGTCTCGGCACCTGGGTCTCGGGGTCTCGGGGTCTGTTCTGCCCGTCCCTTCCTAGACTAGACGCTGGGTTCTGGTGGGTTCTCTTGGCACTTAGAAGCTGTCCAGTGCCCGCTCTGCTCTCTGTAGACTTGTCCCTGGTGGGCGTCTCGTTTGCGCTGTGGCTCCAGCTGCCCTGCGCGGGCCAGTGGTCCCCGTGTCGCAGTGCCATCTAGCACCGCTGTGTCCACACACACAGCTCTCACTTGACCTCCCCTCTCTCCCTGGGTGCCCCCCAGGTACTTTGGATCAGGACCCTGATCTTCCCTCTGTGCCCCGCCTCAAACCTGCCCCCCGTTTCAGTGAAGCCCACTGCTACCCTCCCTTCCAGTTGCCCAGATTGGAAACTTGGGGGTCATCCCTGACTTTGCTCCTCGTTATTTCGGCTCACAGTGGGACAGAGGTCGAGGAAGACAGGACACACGTGACAGCAGGGAAAGAAACGCTGTTCCTCCCGAGGACCAGCAGGAAAGCGGAGCTGGGAGGGAGGGGAGTTGCGGGGGAGATGAGTGGACTGGGGGGGCAGGGAGTGCCCTCGGCTCAGAGCCCCTCTCGTCCTCCAATCCTCCTCACTGTTTCTGTGAGAAGCCGTTAGGCCGGGCTGCTGCCCCCTCCGTGCCCGCATCCTAGTCCCAATTGTGTCGTCTGTGCTGAAGTCTGTCGCTCAGGTGGAAAATGGCCTGAGTCAGCCTTACCAGCCAGCGCTGACCAGGCCATCTGTGAGCCACTGCACAGCACACCCCACAGACCCCGCAGTTGGGAGCAGTCTGGGCTCGGTCTAAAGCACCAGGGGCCCTGGCCCGGGACTCCGAGTCCTGGTTTCTGTCCCGTAGCCCACTGTGCCCCCCAGCACCTAGACACCACCGCCTGGACGGCTGCCAGGCTTGTGTGAGAGAGTTCTGTGCTTCATCCTCCCACTCTGTTTCTCTGCCTCACCACCGTCCTGTGGAGAGGGCAGCTGAGGAGACCAGTGGGAGATGAGGCCTTTAGGTGCTGGGGGAAGCAGGGAGGAGGCCACTGTGGGGAGGATAAGCACGTTCATCCTGCATTGAGTAACGAGTGCTCTGTGCCACATCAGACTGGCATAGAGGACAGAGGGCCTGATGTGACGACAGGAACCGAGAGACTCTCCACCCTGCTGGGAACTGGAGGCTCCTGGCTGCTCCCCAGGGAGGCTGGGGCAGGATGTCGCCGGGCATCCTGGATGGGATGGGTGGAAGGGTGCCGTGGCTTTCCGGCTGTGGTTGGCAGGAGCAGAGGCATGAGAACGTGCTTGTTCCCACAGCGGGTGGGAAGAGCACGGCCAGCAGACTCAGGAGTTGGGGCTGTTGCCAGAGTGGGTCTGGTTCTAGAAAGATCCTAGCGGCTGCAATGGCGGGGGTAGGGGTGAGGGGACTCTCGTCTTCTCCCGGGGCCCCGGCCAGGGCAGCTCTGCCAGATCCTGAGTCCTAGGACAGCAAGGACCCCCGTCCTCACATCCTGCAGCCAAGCCCCTTGGTCTGCCCTTTCTCTGCCTCAGTGGAGAGAAGGGTGTGCCTCCAGCCTTTGATCTTTGCGGAGAAGCAACGACCTCAAACCATAGGGGCTCCTCAGTCCCCACACGGTTCTGGGCTCCCTCGACAGGGCCCACAGGTGGGCTCAGGCTCATGCCTGCCCATCTCTCCCCTTCTTTGTGCCCCAAATCCCCGACTGCTGAGCCTGCCCTTGGCTGTCCCTCTGCCCGGGACCCTGAGCCTGCCCTTCACTGTCACTGCTGATGTGTTCTCCCATCTCTAGGCTCTGTGGCCCCAGAACTGCGCCTGCTCACTCTGAAACTGTCAGACTCAGGGGTGGTGAGCTGTTTTTAGTGGGCTGAGCCCAAAGGGGGGTTTGCTCCTAGCACTGATAGAGCTGCCCCTTTCTCTTCATTTCCCTTGTTGCCACTACAATATCGTTGTTCCCGATATTGCCATGTGTGGCTGAGGGTTTGCATGTACGTGGCTGCGGTGCCCAGGATATGGCACACTTATGCCCTCCGGTGGCACCATGGCTTGGCAGCTGGGAAGCAGATTTGGTGGCGGCCATCAGACTTTTAGCTTGGGGCTGGAGAGATGGTGCAGCGGGTGGCGGGTGGAGCTCTATCTTGCCTTGCACCTGGCTGACCTGGGTTCCATCCCCAGCACCATCCATAGTTCCCCAAGCACTGCCAGGAGTAAGCCCTGAGCATAGGTGGATGTGACCCCAAACCAATTCCCTGCCACCCCCACCCCCTTGCCAGTATACCACCCAACCCCTCACAGCCTGACTCTCACCCTTCCTGCAGCAGGTGCTCCCCTCTGAGCCAGGCCCTGGGCCTCCAGCTGCTCTGGGTTATGAGGTTTGGAAAACAAAAAATATTTTAAACTGCGCAAGGGGCCCCGGATTGTACCTGTATCCAGCAGTGCTCAGGGGACTGTGCTGGGGATCAGACTCAGGGCCTTGCATATGCTAGGCACATTCTCTGTCACTTGAGACATCTTCCGTGCCCCCCCCACCCCATTCCTGAGCATTTTACTGGGCAGGAAGGACACTTCACTGAGCTCAGAAGAAGCCTGAGTGCTCCCCAGGGATGATGCCTGAGAGGAAGCAGACGAGATGCTTTTCAGGAGGGAAGTGCCAGTGCATAGCCTTGGAGGGACACGTTTGCCGACAGGCCAAGTCATCCCCTGGGTGTCCCCTAACTGAATAGTCAGGGTGCCCTGGCTGCACCCTGCAGGGTGCACAGAGCAGACAGTGCTTGGAGGGTCTGAATTATTTAGATGGCCCTTGTCTTTAGCATAGTATGGGCTAATTGGGGGTCTGGAGCGATAGCACAGCGGGTAGGGCGTTTGCCTTACACGCAGCCAACGTGGCTGACCCGCGTTCGATTCCTCCGCCCTCTCGGAGAGCCCGGCAAGCTACTGAGAGTATCTCGCCCGCACGGCAAAGCCTGGCAAGCTACCCGTGACGTATTCAGTAGGCCAAACACAGTAACAAGAAGTCTCATGATGGAGACGTTACTGGGCCCGCTCGAGCAAATCGATGAACAGGAGGACCGTGACCATGACCGGGCTAATTGGGCTCATGGTCAGAGACATATTCTACAACCGTGCTTGCATTATTTGAAGGATGTTCATTTGAAATCTCTAGTCCCGCAGGCTGAGGAGAGGAACATGATTTTTCAGAAAGACACGGTTTATCAATGCCTTCCTGTTAGATCAGCAGCGTATGTTTCTGTATGATTGTCACAGAGGCGTCTAGATGCCAACCCCCCGTTTCCTTCTCACCTGGACCAGTGATGGTAGTTGCCATGAGCACTGGCCCAGCGGGTCCCAGCGGATCTCTGAGTGGCCTGCTCTGTCCCAGAGCAGACCTGGTACGAGTGGAGGGGCAGGGGTGAGGCTATACCTCTGGGGTGTGGGGGACACTGGCTGAGCCCTGGACTAGGCAGCTGTGGGTTGGGGGAGTGACAAGCCACATGCTGGGTTTGAGGTATCAGTGGACCCTCAGTGGGACATGTCCAAGAGGCAGTGGAAGGGCCTTGAGAGCAGGCTCGGGCCAGTGTGTTTTGGGGTGTGGGAGGGAGCTGGGGGCCCACGCTGGCGTTCTCAGTGACAATTTCCATCATGGTGCAGGGACCGTGTGGGGCCAAGCCCGTGCTCCCGCCCGCTGGGTCTCCCCCACAGAAGCTTCTGGCCTGGCCCCATCATGGGCTTGTTCCTAGGGCCTCCTTTTATCTTCTGGTTCTGTGCTCGCTCCTGGCTGGGTCAGGGGACCATTCCTGGGTCAGTTGCTTGCAAGGCAAGGGCCCTACCCACTGTACTCTCTCTGGGGTCTCCTGGGGTCTCTTGGCCTGCCCAGCTGGTGGTGCCCTTTGCCTCTGAGGGAGACCGAGGAGGTGGGGCATGGGAGGGAGCAGGGGGATGGCCAGGGTGGAGTAGTCAGCCCCAGGCCTCAGCTCTTCTGTGGAAGTGGGATGCGCCCATCTCGGGCTGCAAGGCTCATGGTCACCACTGGGTGGCAGGAGTGCTCCAGACAAGGAGTCTGGTCTGGGTGCTCCTGGGGCTCTCTGGATCCCGCCACGCCCTACCCCACAGCCGCCTCAGGCTCCCCAGAAGTGCTTACAGTGCACCCCTCACCGTTCTGTGCAGGCAGAGCAGGTGTCCAGTTGGGGGTCTGGAGCTGGAAGTGCTGCAGTTGCTCCAGAGCGATCCCAGGGCGGGGTGCTCCCGGGTCCTCCTCCTCTCTCCGTGACACCCTTCCCCACTTTTCCCCAGCTGTGCTCTGCAGGGACCCAGGCCCGGCCTCTCCTTCCTTCTGTGGTTTTGGGGCCACACTCAGAGGTGCTAGGGGCTGCTCCGGGCTCTGTGCCTGGGGGCCGCCTCCTGCCTGGAGAGCCCAGCCCCTGGCCTTTGGAGTGCCCCACGGTGTCCTCGCGTGTCCCAGACTGTGCAGGTGCCCGTGTACTCGGAGCAGGAGTACCAGCTCTACCTCCACGACGATGCCTGGACCAAGGCGGAGACCGACCACCTCTTCGACCTCAGCCGCCGCTTCGACCTTCGCTTCGTGGTCGTCCACGACCGCTACGACCACCAGCAGTTCAAGGTGAGCCCTGCCCCTGCCCTGCCCGTGTACCCGCCCCAGGCCTGCCAGCCTGCCCCTGGCCCTGAGCAGGCCTCTCCACCCTGCGTCTCAGAAACGGTCTGTGGAGGACCTGAAGGAGCGTTACTACCACATCTGTGCCAAGCTTGCCAACGTGCGAGCCGTGCCCGGCACGGAGCTCAAGATCCCCGTGTTTGACGCGGGGCATGAGCGGCGCCGGAAGGAGCAGCTGGAGCGGCTCTACAACCGGACCCCAGAGCAGGTCAGCCGGGCCCTGCTGCCCTCTGCTGCCCTCGGGAGCCCTGGGCAGCCCACGCCCCCCCCCAGGCCTCGCCCCCTTCCTCAGCCCCACCCCCGTCCCAGGTGGCGGAGGAGGAGTACCTGCTCCAGGAGCTGCGGAAAATCGAAGCCCGCAAGAAGGAGCGGGAGAAACGGAGCCAGGACCTGCAGAAGCTCATCACCGCGGCCGACACCACGGCCGAGCAGCGGCGTACGGAGCGCAAGGCGCCCAAGAAAAAGCTGCCGCAGAAGAAGGAGGCGGAGAAGCCGGTGTGGAGGGGCAGGGGGGTGCTGGGTTTGTAGAGGGGGCGGGGGCCAGGGTGTGGCCCTTCCCTGTGACACCAGGGGCCCCTCTGCTCCTCTCCAGGCCGTCCCTGAGACCGCGGGCATCAAGTTTCCAGACTTCAAGTCTGCAGGCGTCACGCTGCGAAGCCAGAGGGTACGTGAGTCACCTGGGGGTGTGTGTGTGGCAGGGGGTGGGGGGGTGCTGGGCTCTCGGCACCCCAAGATGTTACAGGCCCCGGGGCGGGCGCCAAGGACAGGTTGGGCATCACAGCGTCATGGTGTCCTACTGGTATCCCGGCTTCTCTGGCCCCCCGTGGCCCTTTGCCCCCCGCGTCCTGAGCTGCCAGTGGGGAATCGGGCCTGAGCACCTGTCTGGGTCGTTGCAGATGAAGCTGCCAAGCTCTGTGGGGCAGAAGAAGATCAAGGCCCTGGAACAGATGCTGCTGGAGCTGGGTGTGGGTGAGTGGGGCTGGGCCCTGCAGGCTGTGGGGAAGGGCTGTGGATGGCGGGCGGCCTCTGTCCTCTCTGTCCTCGCCTTCCCTGCCCCCCCCCCCAGCACTGCCCGTGCCTCCCCCGCAGAGCTGAGCCCGACGCCCACGGAGGAGCTGGTGCACATGTTCAACGAGCTGCGGAGTGACCTGGTGCTGCTGTATGAGCTCAAGCAGGCCTGTGCCAACTGCGAGTACGAGCTGCAGATGCTACGGCACCGGCACGAGGCCCTGGCCCGGGCAGGCGTGCTGGGGGGGCCCTGCCACCCCCGCCCTGGGGCTCGCCCCCGCCTCTGCCGAGTCAGCTGTGCCCGAGCCGGGTCTCGGCCCTGACCCCGCCAAGGATGCCATCATCGACGTGGTGGGCGCACCCCTCACCCCCAATTCGGTAAGGGCTGGGAGGAAGGATGTGGGTGCATGTGTGGGCATGTGCGCCCAGCCCTGCTTCCCAGGGACCCGTGTAGGAGTCCTCCCCAGGGGTTGAGGGGAGCAGGTGGGGAGCCGGCGGGGAGCACCTCCCCGGAGGAGAGGCCCACACCATGCTGGCCTCCGGGCTACTGACCTCCGCCCCGTCTGTCTCCCCAGAGGAAGCGGCGGGAGTCGGCTTCCAGCTCGTCTTCTGTGAAGAAAGCAAAGAAGCCGTGAGGGGCGCGGAGCGGGCGGGGGGCCGGGGGGCTGCTGTGTAAATAGATGTGCTGAGCTGCACCGGCCGCTTCCTGCTCCTCCTTCACGGGCCCCTTGCGCGGTGGGCAGGGGTGGCCCCTGGGCTCACCCATGGAGACTTCAGAGACGCCAGACACTGAGCTCCTGCCTGCGTGCCTGGACCCTGCACCCCGTGTGCCTCACCCGTGCGGCGGCCCCAAGCAGCCCAGCCCGCGCACGGCCCGCACACGCCCAGGCCTCATTCCCCGACTTTATTCAGTGGCACGTTCACAGCAGGGTGGGGGTACACACAAGTGGGGCCTGGTCTGTCCTGGAGCCCTGGGGGCACCACGCACCATGCAGTATGGGTAGGAGGGGGCACAGGGGCCGGGCTCGCCCCAGCGGAAGCCTGTGTACCAGGGAGGAGGCGGTGAGGGCCTGGCTCCCCCCAGCCCAGGCCCACAGCGAGAGGGGCTGACACTGGGCCGAGGTGGGGGAGGGAAGGGGGGCACGAAGTATCTGCTCCAGAGGGGCCACGGAGCCAAGCCCTTTCCCCGGGCACAAGCCCCCAGGGCAGTCTGGGGGCCGCTCTGGACGTGGAGCTGGGCCACTCTCCTTGGTCCCTCCGCGAGGGAGAGGAGGGCGCTGGCCGGGCCGGGCCAGGCGGCTACCCTGTCCTGCCCCATCCTGTCCTCGGCCAATCAGAACGGCTTCGACGTCTGCTTGAAGATGAAGCCGCGGTAGGCGAGCGTCTTCATGATGTTGGCGATGTTCTTGCAGTCATCTGCAGAGGGGGAAAAGGCATTTAGGGGCCCCGCCCGGCCCTCCGCGCCTGCAGTGCCACAGGGAGCGGGGCGAGGCTCGGGGAAGAGGCTCTAGACGGGGTCCTGGCCCTGAGGGCCCGCATCGGGGCTCCGGGTCGGGGTGGACACTGGGGCCAGCAGAAGCCTGGTCTCAGGGCCTCTCGGCCCCATAATTCATGCTGGAAATTGGCCGGCGTGTCCCGCCCCGGCCCCAGCAGTGATGTATGGGCGCCGTCGCAGTAAGAAAAAGGCAGAGTAAATGTGTAATTTCTCCCTTGACGGCCCCCGGCCGCCGGGCGATCCTTCTTGTTGCCGCCGCGTGGGGACGGCCCGTCCGCCACACTCCGTCTTCCCGCCACCCGCCTTGATGTCTCCATTTCATTACTGTGCGGCCATTCATCACGCCCACGACCAGGGTGACTTTGCCGCACTTGTGTGTGTGTGGGGATGTGGCCTAGGATGTAATCACTGGTGACAGGCACCCACCTTGGCACTTGCAGGCCAGGGCCCGGGGCCCAGCCTCGTGTGCCGCCTAGACATGGGCACGATGGCCTGGGCCGGTGGTCCCCAAGCGGCTGGCCAGCAGCTGCCCCCACATGCACACACCAGAGCCCTCTGAGCTGCAGTGCGGCCTGTGGGCGGGGGGGGGGGGGGGGGGGGGTGAGGACGCATATTCCCTCATGGACGTTGCTATCCCCACGTGGACCAGAAGGAGGTGCAGCTGCCCACTGGGACACCAGCGCGGAACCACACACAGGCCTGGGCTTGGCTTTCCCGACAGCCCCTCTTCCTCTTCACCCGCCCCCACCCCCAGATGCCTGAGCTTTAATCCATGGCCTCACCAGGGATGTGTGTGGGGGGGGGGGGGGGGCTGGGACGGTCAGAGTAGGCTCAGGACTGCACCAGTCAAGGCCATCCCTTCCTCCCACTGGGCCCTGCAACCCCACCTTGCGCAGAACCTCAGGCCGGTCCTAATGGCCTGGTCTCGGCTCAACAGGAATGGACCCAAGGGAATGGGGGCCCCAACACCGGCCTCAGCACCCCGAGAGGCCGGTTGGAGGCAGGACAGTGGGAAGACAGATGACCAGGAGTGGCGGCCATGGCAACTCCAGACGTGACCCATCCCCGTGGTTTATGGGCCGGACACGCACCCCGCCTCAGCGGAGGCCTGATCATTTGTCTCCCTTAGCGTGCTGCGGGTCCGTGGGGGTAGGGACGGAGGGCGATGCAGCAGGAGGCTTCCAGCAAGGGAAGAGGGCAGGAGGGGCTGGCCGCTGGGACGGGACCGCCCAGGAGCTACGTGGGGGTCATTTTCCCAAGTCAGTCTGGCCCCAAGAGGACCCTCCGATCCTTCCCGTCTTGGACACTCGGGGACTGTGGCCACTGTGCATATTAAGAATAAGTCCCCTCGTTATCTGCAATTACCCAGTGGCCACACACCTCATTTCTTCCAGCAGAAAAGAAAATTAGTTTTCTATTGACTTCATCTGGCTCCTCCCTCGTTGCCGAACAAATCACTCAATCTGCCTCCCCGGACCCAAGTGAGTGTGCCCGGCCCCTCCCCCCAGGCCACCAGCCGACCGACCCCTGGACCACAGCACTGACCCCCCCACCCCTGCCAGGCCCTGAGCTCTGTCCTTGACCTGTCCCCATCCTGCACTCTGGACACCTTCACCCGGAACTCCAGACCCCCGGGGACCTCCAGACACCTCCGGCCTGCCCGTGTGCTGGCAAACAAACGCCCCTGGACCGCCAAGCCCGAGACGCCCGGGGGCCTCCCCCCACACTTCATCCCTGCATCCTCCGGCCAGTGAACAGCACCCCAACACGCCCAGACAAGAACCTCATCTCTCTCCCCTCAAGTCCAATCACGTATGAGCTACACAGGGAAATCTCATTCTGTGTCGTCCTTCGTCCTGTCAGCTGCTCCCCAAGTCCACGCCCTGCTGTCTGCTGCTCAGACAGCAGCGTCTGCCCTGGTCCTGGTCCTGGCCCCGAGGCCAGGCAGTCACCTTGCCTGCTACAAAAAGCGGCACTCGGAGGCCCATCTGCCTCCCACCTCCCCCCAGGCTCCAGGACCCTTGTCTGTTTTCTGAAGATGACAACGGGTTTGGGGGCAGACCTGGTTCTAGTCTCGGCTTGAACCTGCAGAACCGCTGGCCCCTCCTCTGTTGGCCTTGTTCGATGGGCTGTGGGCACTCACCGTGGGCCCGGAAGCCTGAGGAGGAAGGTGGCGCACAGCTGGTGAAGCTTCAGGAGGGTTTAGAGACGGAAGGGGGAATGCGTGGGGCCAGTGATAGTACAGCGGGTAGGGTGCTTGCCTCCTGTGTAGCTGACCAGGGTTTGATATCCCGCACTCCAAACGGTCCCACGAGGAGTGATCCCTGAGCACTGGGTCAGGAGAGCACAGCGGGGTGTGCTCAAAAGTACAAAGAAATGGGGCGGTGGGAGCACAGATGGCCCGGAGCTGTATGAGCCCGAAGGTGGCGAGAGTCCTCGGCAGGAGCCCGGAGCCGTGCGCCAGCAGCATCTGCCCTGCCCCGCAAGGTCAGCCTGAAGCTGCAGTTGGCCCGAGGAGGCCTTCCTCACCCCCGACTCCCAGCAGGTCCCCTGCTTTGATATGCCCGTGGCAGTGTGATCCTTTTCTTTGGCGGAGGGAACCTACCCCTCTTTTTGCTTTGGTTTGGGGCCACGCTTGCTGGTGCTCAGGGCTGACTCCCGGCTCTGTGCTCAGGGATCACCCCCGCCAGGGCTCGGGGCCATGTGGGGTGCCACATGTAAGGCCAAGCCCTTACCCTCTGTACTATCTCCGGCCCCTATTTCTCGTGTGTGTGTGTGTGTGTGTGTGTGTGTGTGTGGTCACGGTCATGGTCCTCCCGTTGTTCATTGATTTGCTCGAGCGGGCCCAGTAACGTCTTCATCGTGAGACTTGTTGTTACTGTGATATGGAATACATCACATGTGTGTGTGGTACTTAGGATCAAGCCCAGGGCTTCGCAAGGCAAGTGCTCGGCCGCTGGGCCTGCTTTGCATTGCGGCCCGGAGTTGTTTTTATGTTGTTGAGACCACCACGGGGAACGGGCGTGTAACTGGCACCCACCAAGCAGGGCACGTGTGTCTGAGCAGGCCCACCTCGCAGGGAAACAATGGCAGAGGCCAGGATGCAGCCCGCAGGCCGGTGTGACTGCGGGAGGGGAAGCCCTGGGCTGCAGCGACCCTCACTCCCTGCCCTCCAGGCTCGGTCCGGCATGGAGAGGAGGGGGCTGCGGGCGATGCACCTCGTTCCATCTCAGAATGGGCTGTGGGACAAGTTAGGGCTGAAAGTAGGGGCCAGGCTCAGCACAGGGACTATCAAACGGGTCCGGGACACTTTGGAGGGCGGACCCAGGGCGTCCAGAAAGCAGAATGCAGTTAGGTGGCGGCACAAGGTATTAGGGAGGAGAGGTGGGGGGCGGTGACCGACCAGAGGGTCTCTGTGGAGCCCTGGCCAGGAGTGGTGGCTCCGGGTTCGACTGCTGAGCGCACAGGCTGGGCAGCTGCAGGGGGCTGGAGGTAGCACTGGTGCAGGATCCCGAGGGCGAGTGCAGACCTCAGAGCCCTGGAGAGCCTCAGTGTGAGGTTCTGGTGGGACCTCAGGCATTTCCTGTCCAGATTCTGAAGCTTCCACACACTGGTTTTGGAGCCACACCCAGCGGTGCTCAGGGATGGGGGGGTGAGGAGTGGAACCCAGGCAACAAGTCCAGCCCATCCCAAGCTCTCCAACCCTCAAACTTCTTGTTTGTACCTTTAATAGAAAGAGCTGGAGGGGCTGGAGTGATAGCACAGAGGGTAGGGCATTTGCTCTACACACGGAAGACCTGGGTTCGATTCCCAGCATCCCATATGGTTTCCCCCCCACCCCCCATCCCGAGCACTGCCAGGAGTAATTCCTGAGTGCATGAGCCAGGAGTAATTCCTGTGCACTGCCGGGTGTGACCCAAAAAGAAGACAAAAATAATTAAGGGCCAGGAGAGCAGGGGTGTGTGTGTGTGTGTGTGTGTGTGTGTGTGTGTGTGTGTGTGTGTGTGTGTGTGTTGGGGGGGCAGGCGGGTATGTGTGTATGTATTCCTGAGGGGGCTCAGGTGTGGGGTGGAACTGAGCCCATGTCACGGGGTGGCAAAGGTGGAGTGGCCAGAGTGGCTGGAGCAGAGGGCCGACTTGGCCCCAGGTCCAGGGGCCACCTGCACCCCGGGAATGTAACTGCTGTTCTC